GTCCGCCATGTTTCCTTCCCGTCATGCTAAGAAAATTACATTGAACTTCAATTGCAAGTGCTAAACACAATCAGCGTATATTACGCCAAAGCCATCGCCTCTATACACTCCTGCCAAAATGAACACACAACCAGGTAGGCTTTCAGTTACTGCTCTTTCCAAACATACCGCTAGGCGTCGTCCTTACACTGTGGCCCGGTGACAGGTCCCACAATGCACTTCACTCAACTTTGGCCTGCCCCATTGCATGACGGGAAACAAAATGGCGGCGCCCATAAAATCGAGGTAAAGTAGAACAGGTTCCGCTATCGCGAACCTGTAATAAATACCTCTAGTCAGTGGTGATGTGTACTTGTATATATACTATCGTCATTACAAGGTTTGAAATTGCCCTAATATGTCGATAAAATTTGGGCAGGATTTTTTTCTGATGAATACCTGCACATAACCTGCACTAAGCCATGTACATGTAGTATATAACTAAGTGTAAATTACTATTACTGTGACGTTATATGCAATAAAGTAACATGTAGGTGTGTGTAGATTTTCATTAGCTGCATTTCAACCGTCACCAGACTCACCTTTGAAATATAAGAGAAATAATTGTTTTTTAACAGTTTTTAATACGATCCACAAATTCTGAGGGGATTGGTGTACGTAATCTTACGAATCATGTCTTATTCATGAAGTTATCTGTTTTATTTAGACAATACTCTCTACTAGTAGCTGTCTCTGAGTCTGAGAGATCTGTTGGTTGTTACTTACTAGTAAGCTAGTGCTCCCTAGATGTCAGTCACTTTATTTGTGTCCATAAGGCCACTAAGGCCAGTAAGGGTAGTGTAATTTTATATCGTACAGTACCAGTACTTACAATTGTAGTGATGCTGTATTTTGGTACTCTCCAAGCAGAGGTTTGGGTTTTGGGGGTATTTTTAGTGTGTTTTTAGGCTTTTTTTATCGGAGTTTCTCTTTTGCACTGAATTTTTTTTCCCACCAAACCCAACCTCTGCCGGCAGTCGAAAGCTTCAATGGGCTATAAACCTAATCACTTCAACACATTTCAGTCGTTCTGCAAGGAGGTGTGAACCAGACGCATGAATAGGCACAGTCAGCAGGAGGCGTGTAGCCCAATGAATGCCTTCCTGACTGGCTAGATGTGTGATAATCCACCACAATAAAATGGATATCCCTAATGACAGTTTGATGGTTCCCGGGGAGGGGCACTATCGCCTGTTTTGAATAGCTTTTAATAGGTTTGCCCCTCCCCGGGGTGAGTGCCGGCAGAGGTTGGGTTTGGTGGGAAAAAAAATTCAGTGCAAAAGAGAAACCCCGATAAAAAATGCCTAAAAACACACTAAAAATACCCCCAAAACCCAAACCTCTGCTTGGAGAGTAGTATTTTGGACCTGTACAGAATCACATTTCCCATTATAGTACTCAGAGACAAAGCAAGTTGGTAGGTACACTGCTCTAGTTTATAGCCCAATGTTTCTCTGTTTGGCTAATTATATAAGTCTTTCTAATTCTCTCCATCTGTTTGTCCAGGTTGCGAGTCAGTACGGTGTGACGCCGAGTCCCCGCGTGCCGCCGGGACCAGCAGGCCGACCCCACCGCCCCGGGCCAGGGGAGAGCGCCACGCCTACACGCAGCTCCACAGGTGTGGTGTTTCTGTTCAGTTACAAGGAACTACAAGTTGCTCCCTCTAGCACAGCATCTAGAAATTACAGTTTGAAGACACAGATACTTAGCTTTTAAAATTTAATGCTTCTGAACCACTACTAGATAATGATATGATAATAGTTATTGTTTGTTTATTGCAAATTCTTGCTCGAGGGCTAATTGCTATATATAAATTTTTCTTTTTTCGCCCGCCCTCTCCATTAATTTTTCTACAAAAATCCGTTAACCAAAAAATTAAATTGGTGTGGCCTAATAGTATAAAAAAGGAAATGGAAGTTGCTTATAACCTGACATTCAGTTTCTGATCCAGAAGCAGCGATGTCAGACAGTGACGAGTTTGAGACTGGGGAAACCCCACGTAACCCTCGTGACCTGGGAGGTCAGGGGGCAGCACAACAACAACAACAACAACAACAGAGGACAGACTCAGGTAGGGTGGTGTGCTAGAATCATTTCTTCAAATATGAGAATATTAATTACATTTTAATTTAATAACATAACACAGGATAACATCTTCTGGACAAGCCAAAACTTGTGTGTGTGTGGTTGGGGGGGGGGTGGATTTGAATAAAAATCGCTGTGTAATTCTGTAATTGGAGTGTGGTAAAAAGTCTTTTTCCGTACGCAAAATCATACACAATAATATAAACTTTTTTCCGACAGCAATTTCATGGCGGCAAAAAATGGTCATAATGTACAAGTGTTCATTATGAATTTGCTAAGTATAAAACATCAACATAGCTGTAGAAAGTTTAGAAAATAATGTATTTTGAAAATATCAAAACTATATATGGAAATTGCACCTATTTTTATTTTCATGGCTGCATACTTGGGCCTTAAGTTAAAGGTATGTGACAGTGATTGGTAATTACGTGTACATGTATTTCCCTAATGTCATCACTCAATCTCTCCTAAACTCTAAAATATATTTCCTGTCACAGTGAAGTCTTGAGTGCTGCATGGTACTGTTCCTTTTTGTGTGTCTAATCTTCTTGCACTCAAAGTTGATCTCTTCTTTAGGCACTTGTGCAGTGAATCCTGGCAAATTTAAAAGTAATGCGATGCAATTTAAGAGCAGCAAAACAAAGCAAAAATATTCTGGATGAGGAAACCTATCTAATATTGACATTTACTGCCATTCCATGGCACTTTTTTTCATCATTATTCATAGTCTTGAAGTGCTTGAAATAGCCCAAGAACAAGCTTAGGAGAGGAGTCCCTTCATTTATTGGTACCACCAATAAGACAATTTTGCACATACACATGTATACGTAGATAGAACCAGCCTACAAAACAAGCAACTTCTTTCTGTCAGCAACATCACATTTTTTCTTCACACTCACAGTTCTGTAGCAATACTTGTATGCTATGTGATAGGCTAGAGTTGATTTAACTTACTACATCAAAAATAAAAAATAAAAAAAAATACCAGAAAATTGACTTTAAAAATGCAGCTTTACTAGACAAGTATACTGCCCTAAAATGGCTTTTAGGTTTCTTTTGGGTTTCTTTAACCGTCAGCATGCTAATAAGGTATCTGTTTGGCACAAAATTTGTATTTGGTGATAGGGTTAAGCAGCAAGGAGAAGGTTGAATTAAAAGAAACTTCCTTGTTTTACCGAGGCAGCTAACTCCTGTCTTGTTCCCAGATGATGATGATGATGATGATTCGGACACCTCTAACGGTGATGACGATGATGATGATGATGAGCATGCCCAGGTGGAGGGTGCGTACGATCCCGCTGACTACGATCATTTAGCCGTTACACCAGAGATCAAGGACCTGTTCCAGTATATCACAAGGTGTGGGCTTGTCATCTATTTCATGTATTTGTTTTGATTTGATTTGTTCCCTTTATTTTGTATAATATATAGAAGTATAGCTACTGGTAGGCATCTTGTCATAGCCCTATGTCGACATACTAGGCTGGTTTGTAATTCAAACATTGCATTGTGAACTCATAATGTTAAGAAAATTACTGAATTGACAAATTAGGGAAATTGTACAGTAGCATCTCGGAAACACATTCTTTAACTGTAACAGTTGATTAGCCAAAACGTAATTCAGAATCTGAATCCTACATGTAGTGCATGTTTTGTTTTGTTTTTTCTGTTTTGCAAGCGAGAAAAAATGAAGCAGGCAAAGGCAAATCTGACAACAGAAACATTAAATTGGTGTGGCCTAATATAAGTAAGGGGCTATCGTCAACCAGAATTTGAATTAAATTTTATAACAGTTTTTCCTTTCTATGCCCTTGTTTCCACACCGTAGGTACACCCCGCAGTCTATTGAACTCGAGCACAAGCTCAAGCCGTTCATTCCTGACTTCATCCCTGCGGTGGGTGACATTGATGCGTTTGTGAAGGTGGGGAGGCCTGACAGCAAGCCCAGTCCCCTTGGACTGACAGTACTTGACGAGCCGTGCGCTAAACAGTCTGATCCCACCGTACTGGACTTACAACTCAGGGCAATCTCTAAACAGGTATGTACAGGAAAGTCCTTCTTTTGTTGGTCTGTTAATAAGTTGAATGGTTAAAAGGGTTTTTTTTACCTCCGTGTATGGAGGTATTGTTTTGTATGTTTGTGTGTGTGTGTGTGTGTGTGTGTGTTTGTTTTATTTGTTTGTTTGTTAAGTTATTATTTGACAGAATGACCGAAAAATTTTGATTGATAATGATGAATGTTTTTTCACACATATTTTCATAAATATTGTACATTTGGGAATGCATCTGTAGCAGCGACACCTATGCTGCAATGCAATGTGAACCAGTCAGAATTGCCCTGAGAAAGGTGACAGGCGGTCACCAAAACGTCAGCTGAATAAAAGACTTGGTTGTGTAAAAAAAAAGAGTCTCTTTACTCGATAAATGTTTTTTATTTCTTATTTTTGTTTGTGTCCAGACCACCACCAAAGCTATGCAGGTGAGCAGTGTAGCCCAGGCTGACAAAAACCCCAAGGCGATCGAGAACTGGATAGACAGTATCAGCGAGCTACACCGCTCTAAACCTCCACCCAACGTCCACTACACCAAGAACATGCCGGACATAGAACAACTCATGCAGGAGTGGCCACCAGAGTTCGAGGACCTTCTGAATAGGGTGAGGACAAACGAAGCATAACATCATGTAATCATGTTAAAGGTAGCAAAGTGCTGGGATTTTAGCAGCAAAACAGAAAGTATTCTCTGTACAAGACCTTATGTTGATATTGACTTTTGCAAGGATATGTGCATCATTATGTTGTATTTTGGGTCATTTACAAAAATTAGATCTGATCTTAATTGTCTCCTTTTTGTTGGTGGTACGACTGCAATTATGTAATCTGTATCTTTGTTATATATTTGTCCGACTGTAATTTATCTCTTTCTTCAAGACCTGAATGAAAAGTGGCCAGCATTTGAATTTCTCATGAAAAAAGTGAAAACAAACAATACATTTAACCTTGATGGAAACAGCACATTCATGAAAATTATAATACAATGACAGACATAAATGATTGTAAAAATAAGACAGTGTACAATGTTATATGTTTATTTCTGTTCCTTGATGAGTTTGTTAAGAAACTTTGGGACTTTGTTTAAAAAATTGAATATTTTGCTGTGTAAATGATACCTTGACCTTCTGTTGTTCCGTAGGTTGGCCTGCCGACAGCTGACCTTGACTGTGACCTTCCCACGTACATAGACCTGATCTGTTCCATCCTGGACATCCCAGTCTACAAGAACAGACTGCAGTCTCTACATGTCCTCTTCACGCTCTACTCAGAGTTTAAGAACTCCCAACACTTCAAGGTGCTGGCTGAGCAGAACAACATGGAGAACGTACCCCCCCAGGCCCCCCTCGAAGGGCAGGGGGGTGCAGATCGCTGGGCACCAGGGGGGGAACAATAACGAGGGGAACCATATATTAGGACCAACTAATTTTTATTCGTCTTTTTTTTTTTCAAACTTCTCGTTGGAAGTGTCAGAATACGTCAGATATTTTGGTCCTTCAATGATTGAACTACTGATAGAATGCTTAACTATTTTTTTAGTTAGTAAAAAAAGGCAGTTGTGAATGGCTTGTACTGGATACTAAACTAAGCTATCTCATAGTTTTGTGTTTGCATGTGCAGTAAGGTACATGTAGATTTTGGTCTATTAGGTCAATAGTTAAAGTTCCAAACTTTACATCTGAGGGACATTGACCTCTGACCTTACCCACAATGCAATGTGCCGATGGAACCATGAGATACTAGTACATGTAGCTTATTCCTTTAGATGGCTATAGAAGTTGTCACTGAAAACTGAGACTTTGTAACAGTTCTAAATACATAGTGCACTCGTAGAATGCCAATATTGTTGCACATGTACATGTATATATATAAATAAATGTAGAAGGCACATGGCATGGCATATTTCCTGCTAGCAGTGTATTATTCAACAAGAGTGGATAGTATATTTTGAAACATTCGACTAGCACAGTCGACTAGCGCAGTCGAATGTTCTAAGGCTGTATTTAGCCTCTTAGCTTCCGATGAGCTTATGGGGGCCATAGGTAAAATACATTAGACAGTTCAGATGCCTAAACCTGCAGTAGTATGTACACCGAGATAATGCTACAACTTTTATTTCAGTCCAGATGATATAAAGGACTGTTTCTGTAACTACTTAAACACATTAAAATTTCAAAGTCAGTTTTCCTGAGACAGAGACTTGGCATTTTATAGATGCTTTATTGTTCCTTACAATGAAGGAAATCGGTCAGACAAATTGGTCAGACATCATCTCAGCTCTCTTCTGGTAACCGACATTCTCGATGGGAGACAGGACTTCTGACTTCTTTACCTGTCTCTTGCCTAAAAAACAGATCGGGTCTGCTTGACACTTCACACCCTTATCGGGTGCCTTTGCCGCTTCCTCCGCTTCTTCGATCTGTAGGAGAGTGTCGATGGCGATGTTAGTCTGGTCTCCGTTGTCTTTACGGTAGATTTCCTACAGAACAGAATGCAATAAAGTATTTGATTATGTTTACCGAAGTTTCTTCCTCATCTTCTCGATCCAAACAAATAAGGTGAATGGCACTCTCACCATACATGTATATGGTAACTGGTGTTGCAAATGCCATGCAGAACCGAGGGTTAGCCTCCTTGGCAGAACTGAGTTCAAGAGGGGCTGTCTGGTAACAATATATATATTGCCTCTACCAGACTAACTACGGCGGCTATATAAAAGAGAATAATTGCCAAGGGAGTTTGGCCGCCTTGTAGGTTTGATTGGCCACGCAGCTCTTCGGAGGGAAAGAAACTACCTCCCCGCGGCCGGACTACCTTGGCCAGTTTTACTCTCTTTTTTGTCCGAATTCTACTATCCGTATTCCCGTAGAAAGGTCTAGTGGAGGCAAATAAACAATGCTAGGAACGTCAGGTTTTCGGTGGCGTAACGTTCCTCTGTGTGTGTGTGTGTGTGTGTGTATGTGTGTGTAACATGATAACTTGAGAAGGCTTAAGCGGTGCTTGACATAATCTAATTTATTTTATGGAAATCGGGATCTAATTTGCATAATTCGTGTTGATAATAAATCAAATTTGGCTTTTCAACAAAAGCGAGGATATGAAGATAGGCTTTGGCCACCAGGCATATCAAATGGTCTAGAAGCTAACTCTAGATCAAAGCCCCTGCGTCTTCAGTTGCGTAACATGTATTACGACCTTGTCTGCGATGTCACTGCACATGAAATCTGTCGGGAAGGCATTTGTGGCCTTGTCACAAAGGCGACACAAAATGAACACAAATTTGCAACAACAAAAGGTACTTATCACACTGAACTCCGGGGTACAATAGAGAATCATCCTCATGCAGCCTTACATTATGGTAGCCACCATTTAAAAACGTTGCTCGATTCTTGATTCTTACCTCGGCTTTTCCAGCGGGTGCCGCAAACGTGGTCACCAGAAGACTGAACAGTGCGGATGCGATGACGATAGTCTTCATCGTGGTGGTGGTGGTAGTTCGTTCTTCGTTGAGAATCTGGTATGAATGTCGTCCTCGTCTTGTCGTCCTGTTGTCGGCTGTTGTGGTCCTCCTCCTTCGTGTAGGCTGAGCTGCTCGGTTGTGTGAGTGAAGCCAACGGGCAGCAGCCCGGTAGTTTTATAGCTAAGACGAGTGCACTCCATGGTGAATGGACCAACTGCACCACACGGTCTCTCCTACAGGCTATTCAATTGAGGGAAAAAGGAGTCACTCTTGAAACAATGGCGACAGTGAGGCCGTGCGAACATACACGCGTAGTCTCACTTTAGCAAGGAGCTAGTCAGCTGGTACTTGTAGAATGTAAACACATTAAATTACGCCAGCAACTTCTCGTAAACATGGCATTGAATACGCCTTTCTTGATTATGACCCCAAGAAATCAACGATAACCTTCTGCAAGCATTTCACGTACGGATATCAGTTTTAGATGGTGACTAATTATTTCTTTGGAATGTGAAAATCTTAGATTTATCTAAAACGTTTCCTCTTAATTGACACAAATTGGAAAGCATTTCTTCTGTAACGATTTAAGTCATTCCTAATGTCCAGTTCCTTGATAGATCGATATTCTTCTATTTTGTTAACATAACACGTGTGGGAAAGAATCATGTGGGAGATTTCATTTTTTTTACAGTAACTAAAGAGGCATGTACATATATGAAAGGAACTTTCATGATATGGAAACCTGGTTGTCAGATATTCTATGGTGCCCCAATAATCAAATATCTTAGACGAGATGACGGTACGCTTGTAATCCTCAAGCAGATCTTTTTGTGGCTGTGTAAGACAGTATCAAATTCGCCAAGCTGTAGCCGTTTGCCAGGCTGTATCCACTACGCCACCCAAGGCTAAGGCCTCTCTCCAGATGACACCGTTTCGGTACTCTGTGACCTCTGTATACAATTCTACTGGTGCATGCAGCCAACTAATGTTACCTTTGTGCTAAAACTACATAAGGGTAATTGAGCAATACTCTTGTCAAACAATCTATTCTCTCCATGTTTTGTATGGAGAATACCACACTGAATACCAAATGTCGGGAATACCAAAGTCAGGTGTGTTTTGAAAAAACGTCTTAACAGTTTTTACGAGACAATCAATCATCTCGAGAGAAAACATGCTAAGAGGCCTGCAGTGACGCACTACTTCATACCTGGTAAGTCACCGGGACGTATATCAGGTAGCACCTGTAAAGTCGTGTTCGCAGATACCCGATGCAAAAAAGTCAAATAAATGCATAAAAATCATATCAATTTATTAAAAAAATACAGAAAATCGTAATTAGCCCCACTCGATTGCAACATAACATCAAAGACCGTTGCTAGACTGTTGTTTTAGTAATTAACATGCTACCTGAACCGTGTACGTTTTTCGTGCAATAAAGTTCTATATTTGTAAGGATTATATCTCATATACGGATTTTTATATTTTTGCGGTATGCATCGCTGGAGATGTTGGTACAACATTGATACCGCTGTACAAGATTTTTTTTTCTATTTAATTTTTTTATGATATCACATCCCATGCTTAACACCTTACATTTGATATCTCTAGCCTATAAAGGGTTTTGTTTCTGGTTGTGTTTGACAGCTGACCTGTTGTCGATTATTGATTGGTCAAAGTAATCCATCCGCTGGGCTAATCGTCCAAGTCTCGCACATGCGCACTACGTTCTATAGATCCCTCTTTGTCTAGGTGAACCTGTTGAACTCCAGGTAAGTCATTTAACTTTGAATTCTGTAAACAAATCTCCATTTTCTGCTGCTAAACTGGCAGGTAGTCTCTTTTAACTACAAGACTGTTAGGATTGTATCCTGCAATGGCTTTCGTCCTTTTTTTGCCCCCTTTTATGTTGCACACTGGTTACGCAATGGCAGCAACAATTCTTAAATTTTTTGCTCTGCATGAAATAGATAAAGAAATAGATATGAAATATTACAAGGTCTGCGTCTTACAATCGTAGTTTATTATTGATCTAAAAATACCTCCTGTCGTATTAGAGGTGGTTACAGTTAAGAAATCGTGTCTACAATCCCTACAAGTGTCACAAGTGCGTGTATATGCCAGATTGGTGCTTTTGTTTAATCTTTAATAGAAAATGTACCCTTGATCGCTTTTTATATTCCAGGCCTTCTACTGGCTTTAGTGGCCTTACTTACGTGACGTGTCGACAGAAACCAGTGGTTTTGTGTAAGTGTTGGTTTGATAGCGTGTAGAAAGTAATAAACTTGTTCTGTTTGTACGGCCTGCCTTAACGTAAACAGGATTAGGACTAACGTCTGTAATCTTAACTTTGACAAATGATTGTCATTTTTTACTTTTCCTATAAGCGTAGGCAATCTTTATTGATATTCCTTTGTCTGAAAGCAACCTTACATTCTTACTGAGTTGTGACCTTGGGGTAATATTACTCTCCAAGAAGATCTGTTTTGAACGTTCTTTAGGCGTCTGTAGGCGTTTCAGACGCGTCGGACGTTTGTTTTGTCAGCTTTTCTTAGCGAAAACTGGCCAGTTAACAAAACGTAAAGCTGACAAAATGCAAATCTTGAAAAAATCCTGTAAACCTTAAAAACAGTCGAAAACAAGTTTCACCTCTGTTTGGAAGGTGTAGTAATACCGCACACTGGTATTCTGTACTGCAAGCATTAGGCTTGACTCAACCGTTACCGTAAAAACAAATATTAGCTACTGTAAGCGTCATTAGCAGTGAATATACACGCACGTCACAAGCAAATATACCCTACCTGTACATAACAACGCAGCGGTGATCTGGTATAGAGAGATAGTCTGCATAGGAGGATCCGTGGTAACGCTTAACGTTAAAATCAGAGGACTGGCAATGGTTACGGTAAGTTGACCTGTTATAAGTATTGCAGAATAGTCTCTATCCGTCTTTCGAAGAGGATAAAAACAGTACGAGTTTGAAACAGTCAGAAAACAGGCCAAGGAGGTACATTTTCCGCACCAAGGCAAATGTACCCCTTTAGCAGACGAACTCCTCCGGTATGTGATCTATCTAATCAATTTCTACTCTTAATAGCCGCTTCCGAAGCCTGGTAGAGGCTAATTTTGTTGGATAGTTTGTGGACAATCTAATGTTCGACTTTGCTATACGAAGAATATCTGCGAATGGTGCTGAACTGAACGATGAAATTACGATTAAAAAGTGTAAAAATGTGTTATACGTCGATAAAAGCGCCCAGTTACATCTTCGAGTTAATAGATACTAGGTAAAATTAAAAGTAACGTCGAATTTAAGCGGCCAGCTACGATTAATGTGAGGATCTTATAACTGGAATAGTTCGTTCCGCCAACGTTATATAAGGCAAGCAGACCCTCTGTATACTGTACATTTGCTATGATTTTTCCTTAATTCTAGTCACTGTGTAGATGCAGAAATATCGTGCTATAAGTTTAGATTTTTCACACTAGCATTCTCTCTTTCTAATTCTAGACTGTTTAATAGTTCTTACTATAGCATAAAATTGACAATGTGAGCTTTCTTTGTTGCATATGTATCGACATTTACCTTTGTATTATTTATGTGTCCTTTTTTCATGTATATGTAACGTTTTTTACCGCGAGATTTGGTTGGGGTTTAATTTTAATTTTTTTTTATTTGTTTTTAGCTCTTACCGCCCCCCCAACCCCCCGGTCATACGCCGATGAATTTCAGGCATCAGAACATTGCGCAATACAAAATGGATCAAAGAACTGGATAAATTCTCTTAAAAATCAAAAGTTTCAATAGCAGGCACTATCTTTCACCAGTGACTGAGAATGAGCCTGTAAACAGTACATAAATGAGCACTGGAATTGATATCTATCCCGAACATTCCTTTGTGACATTCTGAAAGAGAGGAAGTCAGCGGAACGAATCATGGCTAAGATGATACTACACGTACTGCTTCTCCTTACAGCACTGTGTGTAATCATCTATGGCGTATTGACAATGTCTTTGATGACCAAAACTGCGTTTAATCCAAACCAATATCTATCCATGGACGATGGGCAACCTCGGGTTCCAGTGGTGCAACCTGCCATACCTCAGCCTGCCATACCTCAACATGTGCAGCCTAGTTACAGGTACGCCGTATCAGTCGGGTCATTCAAAAACGTTTCGACCGACCACACAAATATGAATGCACGCGAAGCTGACAAAGTTTCTAAATTACGACAAGAATTGTTGTGTAATTTAAAGAAGAACGTTCCGTTTTCGACCATGACGAAAAAACAGGCAGCTAAAGACAAAAACCGCGTCATCTTGCCGAAGGAGAGTCTGGAGAAGTTGGTGCACTTTAACTCGTGCGCAGTCGTCAGTAATAGTCACGCCCTGAGGTTTTACACGTACGGACAGGAGATAGGTAGGTTTAGAGTAATTACGTCGCATTTAAATTGTGTACCATATGACCTTTTGCTACCTTTAGAGAAAATACAAGTATGTGCATTTTTGGCACTGGTATGAAAACCTGATGAATTAAAATTCGTCAAAAATCCTCTGGGCATTTGGCATGCTCAACTTCAAAATTATGCAAGTTTGGAGGGTTTTTTTTGCCACGTGTAGACTAAGCACATATATATTTGCCATACAGAAGCGTGACTGAGTATACAGCTGAAACCTTTCATTCTTCTTCTTATGTATTGACCGATACTGATATTTTGACAGCCGGTATCAATTTAATCAGAAATATCTTTTATTTCTAGATAGTCACGATGCCGTGCTGAGATTCAACTGTGCTCCCACTCATAACTTTGAAAACTTCGTCGGAAACCGGACAGACATTCGGATGATCAACACACTGATTCCTTACCGTATGTGCCGGGAGGAGTTCTGGAGTAAAAATAGCAGCATATTCAAACACGGAATACTGGTCATTCGAAACATGGACGGAATCGAATCAGGACGACAAGATGTAGACGCTGAAAAGGACACTTATCTTGCATTTGCGAACTTGATTGCATTCAGGGAGACATACCCAAACAGGCCCCTGCCTTTTATACACAGGACTAATTTCGGGCTAGACATCAGGAAGGAGTTGGTACGTTTCTGTGACACTTTTAAAGTGTGCGAGAAGACAAAGAAGAGCCCAAGTACAGGACTATTTGGTAAGGATTCGAATTTGCATTAAATTCCATTCTGGCCTAAAAATGGGGTACGGAATTTTTCCCGACCAGCCTTCGTGACCCCTGCTTCACCTATTGGGTTAGTTAGTCCGCACTACTTGTGAGAAATTGGGCTGGTTTCAACCCTGATTTGCGGTATCTCTTTCTCTCTCTCTCTCTCCCTCCATCTCTCTCTCTGCCCCCCTCTATGTGTAGGTGTGTGTGTGGATGGTGTTGATGGATGGCGTTCAGCACCAAGGACAGGTGTGCCTATAATGCGCGCGCGCACGTGTGATTGTAATTGTGTGTGAACAGTCGATGAACAGTCGATTGACAACAGGCGGGTACAGATAAGTCCCAGATACAGGACGTTAAGTCCCAGAAGCTAACTTGGAGCCAGCACAAGGTTCGCCCGGAAGCCGGGTAAAATGGGAAAATAATGACTTAAACAACATATTTCACAAATTTCTTCGTATCCGAATTCCGGAAAGTATGACATCTCTGATTCCTTGTTTGGACTTGAAATGGCTATTATCAACCTTTAAACGTGCTGTTTTTCAGGTATCGTCATGATGCTGCACCTCTGTGACTGGGTCCGAGTCTACGAGCTCGTCCCTTCCAACAAGGACAACACAAACCTCGTCTATTACTACGACGAGACAGAAGTTCGGTCGCCCAACGACCTACACTCTTACGACCTAGAGCGAACTTACGTCAAAGCATTGACACTGACTCCCGATAAAGATATAGAAGATACAGGCGTGGTGCTGCTCAAGGGTCTGTCACAGATTCACTGTGACTGATGCCGCCATATACTATGTCTGCTATTTCTGGTCGCAGCACACAGTATTTGTGGGCGAACCCCTTAGTCAAAAGTAGTACGATAGTAGGTAAGTAGAAAAGTAGGTCGGCATATAATTGAGACAGGCACAGAGGTTGGCACAGATTCGCACAGATTCCTTCCGGCGGACTTGTTTAATTCTTTTCTCCACGCAGGAGTAGAATTGTGCCAATTGGTAGTTGCCGCCAGGTGGGTGCAATTCCTTAACACTGCGCCTGGTGGCGCTGTAACCCTATGAATAGCCTATCAAGTTTGACTCGTCGGTGAAGGTTAGACATCCAGGTAATAAGATACTCCAAAAAGCAGTTACTCAAGCAACTGGATATGATTTTGTTGCTTGAGTAACTGCTTTTAGGCGTATCAAGTTTGACAATTTTAGGAACTGTTGTATTTCATTTCATTTGTAAACAAGCTAGAGTGTCAGGAAAGAAATCAGAATGAGTCAAATTGTGTTAATTTTCGTTTATTCTCATATTTCCGCCTATTCTAATATCCCATCTGCTTCTGAGCTGTAATTAGTTGTACGTTTGTGTCACAGGGTTGCAGGTATGTAATTGCTAGTAGCTCAAAGTAGAAGGGTTGCAAATGGGCATGCGTGCTCTCAGCTAGCTAGCTAACATTCCATACTGCACAACTTTTCTAATAAACTTGAGGTGAGAAATTTGAAATTCCTTTGCAAGTCTCGACTGTTACAATCATGAAAGTGATTTTTTTCTAAATATTGGCAATCGTCTATGTCTTCCCCAAGAGGCGATCTTCGTACATTCACATTGTATTAGATTCGATGTCTTCTTGGCGTCCGGTTTCCTCACTGAGAAAACAACAAGAAAGAAACATTGACAAACAAAAAATATGAGCTGCAGTTAATTAAAGGTAAAGCAGTTATCCTCAACTGACAACAAACATCTTCAAAAAAATTCTAAAACTAAGAAATATCTTAATACGAAATATATCTGCATGTATTAAACAGCTTGTCTATATCTGTATTAATTTTATGATAATCTGTTTAAAATGCGGTTGTTAGATTGTGAAACGTCTACGACAAGCAAGACTGAGTACAGCCGCAATATGTACTTACTCCTTTTTTTTGCCACGGCCATTGCCAAGGCATTTCCTCGATAGCCAGCTGTTCATGTAAAAATTGTAAATCATGAATCAATGAAGGCTAGACATCTAGGACATAAGATATACAGTCAAGAAAAAAATTGCTCAAACAAGTGGATGGATATTTTAATTCTAACCAGTTGCTTCAGCAATGGTTTCTTTTAAAGGCCTAAAATGAATCATGAAATACAAATGATCACCGTGGTACACAAACCTACAGTTACTTACATAATTCATATCTTGTGTTTCATAAACCATTCCGCATTTCGGGCTTAAAAATAATTAAATCTGTGTAAATAACTCAGGTACGGTCATCACAATTTTAATCCCATGACGTATAAAGCAAAACAATATACATGTGGCCTTTCTGTAGAATTGGTGACATAGTTATTCGTTTTATTGCATTTGTGTGTCCGAAATGCGTCGTATCTAATTCTAATTGACATACCTGCGTTTGCATTTCTTCCCATCTTCTCCCTTTCTTTTGTTCATTGAGCCACTACTGAACCATCCTCTCGGATTCGCCTTTTTGTTGCCTTTTATGCCGTCTTGGTCACTATGACGATGACAAAAGTAAAATTGAAAAGGAGAAATTGAGACAAGGCCGGCATTGAACCATATACTGTAATATGAATAATGGTTACTTCTCGTGACTTTCGCTTCGCTCTAAAATTTAACAGTCCTTAAATGATACATGGCATAATTCGTATGAAAAAAACAACATTGTGTTTGATCAGCTGAACATAACTGTCGATACTTTAAGATCAGCTCCAAAATGATAAATTCTACAAATTTGCTCTGTTTGCTTTAATTTAATTTCACTTCTGCATTTTTCCGATTTCTTTTGGTCAACGCATAAGTACGTTGGACGATGTACGATGGACATTTACATGAAAAATTTCTGATTTTTCCAAACACTGTCGGGAACCCATTGCCATGGCAATTAATTTGATTAAAATTAGAAAATGCCAGATATATTTTAGGAAGACTCATCAAATTTGATGGTTCTAGCGCAAGTCGTTCCGGCGCTATCTGAAATGGATGTTGGGACTGAAAATGCGGCCTACATGTAGATAACATGAAGTAAAAGGTCCTCAAAAATGTTTAAGTGTTTATAATTTAGCAACACACAATTATCGATACATAATAATCAATTGTAAACATTGTTGTAGCCAGTACAGATTTGTTTTAAAACCAATTTAGTAGATATAATGTTATCAAAATTTTACATTACACGTATTCAAAATATTATTAAACTCGGAAAATATATTTACATTTTTGCTGGTCGATTGACATCAGCGTTGCCATCCGACTTGTCAAGGCATTTTCCCAGCCAGCTGTTCATGTAAAAATTGTAAAACTTGAGTCTAAAATGCGCCGATAAAGGATAGACATCCAGGCTATAGCACACACAACAAAACAGTAACTTGACAAGCAACTGGATATATATTTTGATATCTTACCAGTTGCTTGAGAAACTAAATGAATGATGACATACAAATGATCACTGTGGTACACAAACATAAGATTATTTATAATGATTTCATAGTGAGTCTTAAAACATAATTTCAAGCTTTATAATTACATCTGTGTAAATGACTCAGGTATTACAATAATGGTCATCACAATTTTTAATTCCATGACAAAGCAAAACATTATAGGCTATTTTCCGTTAGCCTTTCTGTAGAATTGGTGACATAGTTACACGTTTTATTGCATTTGTGTGTCTGAAATGCGTCGTATCTAATTCTAATTGACATACCTGCGTTTGCATTTCTTCCCATCTTCTCCATTTCTTTTGTTCATTGAACCACTGAACCATGGCCATCCCTTCGGATTTGGCTTTCTGTTGCCCTTTATGCCGTCTTGGTCACTATGACGATGATAAAAGTAAAATTGAAAAGGAGAAATTGTGACAAGGCCTGCAATGAACCATATAATATAAATAATGTTTACTTCTCGTGACTTTCGCTTCGCTCTAAAATTGAACAGTCCTTAAATGATACATTGCATAATTCTAATGAAAAAGCAACATTGTGTATGATCAGCTGAACATAACTGTCTATACTTTACTTTATGGTCAGCTCCAAAATAATAAATTCTACAAATTTGCCCCGTTTGCTTTTGATTTAATTTCACTGCTGCATTTTTTTTTAATTGTGGTCAACGACTACATGTACAATAAACCTTTATATGTATTACACAGGTTATCTATGCATATCTATTTTCTGATAATCTGTTTTAAACGCGGCTATTAGATGGTTGAAGTATAAGACAAGCAAGACTGAATACAATCGCAATATGTACTTACTCCTTTTTGTTGCCACGGCTGTTGTCTTGACCGTCGGCACATTTCGTACCAAACCAAAAACTGTATGTTGTTAACAACATGTCAGTGTGTTAGGGCAAGCACAGCGTCTTCATAATGCAGATATTATTTTTTTGCATGACGTGTAACATTTTTGCATATATCAGTCCATTCGATAAGTAATTTCGAACTAGCAGGCATTGTTTTAGATCATATTGTTGATGTGTTAAAATAAATTCCTAAGTCTGTTGCATCCCATGTTGCTTATTCTATTAGGATTCTATTTGCACAATCAGGGGATTTAGCTATAATTCCTTAGTCATAATGGCTTACATCATTTGGCGAAGGTATGAGATCGTGGAACTTTAGTTTAATAGATAATAAACACAGGTACCTGGGTTTGCATTTCTTTTCACCATTTCCAGACTTGAATGTCTCTCGGCGGCGGGGAAGGTATGAGCTGTAAAGTAAAGGTAAAGCAGTCATCCTCAACCGCGGTGACGCATGGAGTTTTCCCAGGTAGCTATATTGCGACTTAGATTCAGCTCGGCTTATAACCACCTATACCGTGTCAACCGTACTCGGTAAGAGTGTTGACCGGGACACTCTTGTGAAGGACATTTTAGACAACTTCCAATTGGGCACGTTAAAAGGCAGTCACGAATGAGAATTTTTTACCGTGTTCCAAGTCAACAAACTAGAGGACTATAAATTTTATGTAACAAAGATAACACCAACTAAATACATTTTGATCAGCTCCTAAATAACATCATCTTCAAATTGGCCCTGTTTGCTTTGATACACTTTACGTTTTGCATTTTTCCAAAATTTGTTGCGGTCAACGACTACATATACGATGTATATCTATTAGGAACATTTTCAGAGATGTACTTACATTTGTTTTGGTTGTTTCTCTTTAACGTTGTCATCACGGCACTTCCCCAAAAACCAACTGTTTAAAATAGTTAAACATACACCCATATGAATCAAGAAAAAGTGAATCAAGAAATGACAATGTTCACCATGATACATGCATCTACAGTTAAGTATATAATGTTATGTCTTGTGTGTCAAAACGATGAAGGGCTCATGAACAGTAGAAATGCATTCCTAATCTGACAGTATGAAATGCATTTATACTATTCATGAGCCCTTTACACTTTTCACATAAATGTCTTCAAAATCAATTCATCAAAACCAGACCACTTTCTCACAACTAGTGATAGAACATCGTGAATTGGTTCGTGTGAAAAGCGTTGTCTCGCAATAAATCCTATAGTGGACTGCTTTTTTTTAAATAAATAATATACAAATTTACCTTTTTCTGCATTTCATGTCATCGTTTCCAGATTTGAATGTCTCTTGGCGTCGGGTTTGCTCACTAAGACAACAAGAAGATAGAAAAATAACAAAAAGATGAGCTGCAGTAAAGTAAGGGTAAAGCGGTCATCCTCAGCTGCGTTGACGCATGAAGTTTTCCCAGGTAGGTAAATGGCGACTTAACTTTAGCTCGGCTTAAAACCACCCACACCGTGTCAACCGCACTCAGT